GAAGATATATCCATAGTGCATACAGTTACAGATTTCTTGATTTTTACACTTGACATTATACATTTAAAAGTGTGCAAGGACATGAAGGATTCTGGGGCAAACACCTTTTTGAAACTGTTATCAACATGCCTTTTTAAGATCTGCAGATAGAAAAAGCAAATACGAGTCCTGAATTCAAGTTTTACAATTAAAAAATATTTCCTAATTAGTCGTGCCCAAGCTGAATATCAAAGAAAACAAAATTAAAAATACCAGAATTTGGAAAATAATTAGGGTATAATTCTACCTTACCATCCCATAAGCTTTGTATTTTCTCTTCCTTTTTAGTTTATAGTTCAGAGCCTCTGCATCAACAGCTTGCACATCTGGAAATTAAAGAGTTGGAGGAGACAAAAATTAGTGACTGATTTCAAGAAGCATTTCCTTCCAATGGAACAGTTAAAAGTTCAAGAAATCAAAACAGAAAAAAAAAAAAATAAAAATCAAGGAGTTCGAACTACCTGGTCTAGGTAACTTATGCTGAATATGAGGGTACTTTTCCTTTGTATCAGATTTTAAAAGCTCAAGAGTGGCTGAACTGTTTTGTTTGCCAAATGAGATATTGTTTTCAGATTAAGTCAAGGGTTTTTTTATATTTGTGAAAATAATGAAATGAAAACAGATGAACTTGTGAGAGTGAGTGGCTGTAACCATTTATGACAGAGGGAGAAAGATGTTAACTTCCTCTCTTGGAAGTTATGTCTTGAAAGCTTTTTATTACTTAAATTTTATTTAATATTAATAAAATTACTTTTATTACTTAAATTTTATAGTAATTTCTGCAAAATATATGAAAGTCTTCTTCCATCAGATTATAAAAGTTTGGTCAGCTCTCTAAACCATCGGTTTGTGATGTCTATCCTCCATCAGGACTGCACTCTTTCAGTCACTAGTAATATGACGACTTAGTATTTAATTGCTAATAAATACTACTAATGGAGAGCTATTCCCTTCCCCTTTGCAAGACAGAGATACCTGCTGTGTTCTCTTTCACACAAGGATGAGTTATCTCCTCAGAAGGGGAAGAAATGCTCTCCTCTCAGAGGTCTTTCTGCTCAATGACAAAGGATTATGCATGTCAGGTTTTAGGCATGTAATTCTAAGTAATGACTGATAAATATTCAAAATACACATGCACTAAGGTAAAGAAGCAACAAAAGGGAAGGTTCAAAGAGGATGGAACCATGGTCCTTTCAGTGCTGCCCAAGTGACAGGACAAGAGGCAACAGGTACAAACTGAAACAAATTCCCTTTGAACATCAGAAAAAAAACTTTTTTAGTGTGAGGGTGACAAAACACTGGTAATGGTTTCCCAGAGAGGTTTCATCTTAAGAGATATTAAAGAAAAATGTCTAGCCACAGTCCTGGGCAACTGGGTCTAGGTGGACTCTGCTGGAGCAGCAGAGTTCAACCAGGTGATTTCCCTCCCAGCCTCAATCATTCTCTGTTTCTGTGAGTCTGTGAAGAAAAAACATATAAGAGAACAAAGAAACAAGGACAGCTTTAGAGTGGAAGGTTTTCTGTTCTGTTGTTAAATGTTTGTGAACCTGACATGGAAGGTTTTGTGTCAAATGTGTGTCAAGATCAAGAAGCACTTTTACTATATTTGATACTTCAGAGTAATTTTGTGAATAATTTTAACTTATGGGTTTGTGTATGCAAATGAAGTATCCATGTGGAAAAGGAATTGGCCTGCTCAACAGAAATAAATTATACAAGATTTCAAAAAGAGAAGAAACCCATTCTATAGGGTATTAGATGCTTTTTTTTCTAGGATCTACATATCTCAGGGAATAAGCTCCAAAACCATATTCTACTGTGCACTGTTTCAATAAATTTATTTTTTATATTACAGTTATAGGTATTGTTAGAAATCCCTAATAGCTCCTTAAGCAATGATCATCATGTGCTTTTACTTCCTCGGCAGTAGTTTCCTCTTTTAGTTGAGTTTTAGGTGCTTGGATTGCTTTTCACTCTTTTAATTCCTCCGCCCCTCCCCAGTTCACATAGACACATGTCTAGGGCATAACATCAGAAGAATAACAGTCAATGGAATATGCCTTTCATGTGCAACAAATTATGAGGTTCATGATGACCGCTTGGTTATTTAGGGACCTTATTCTGCTATATAAAGCCAGGAAAGTTTTTTTTGCCAAAGAGCTACCCTCTTTGCCCTAGCTACTGCATCAATAAAGCAGATTTGTGCATCCTGAACCTTCCTTTTTTCGTTCCAATTGGGGCTGTAGATATTTTAAATCCTGAACTGCCATGTGAGTTAGGGAGCCAAAGAGAGCAAAGATATATCAGTCATTTGTCAGGCTGCTGAAAAGACAAGTTATAGTATTCTTTACTTGTGGCAGCCGAGCTCAGCCAAGGGAAGAAATAACCCGCTCATTTTTGGAGTCTGTTAGGATTGGACAAAATTTCCCAAGGAAACAGAGATATGAGGTTTCGTTATCAGCAGTTACTGCTGCATATTTGGTGTTTGAACTTAACTCTTTAAAGGAAATCTAAGCTTATGGTCTGATATAGGATAATATAGAAAAGAGCATGTGAATAAACATTAGAAATAGAACAACACACAATTTAGCATGAGTCACCAAAACTATATGCTACTGTAATTACAGAAAGTCAAATAGGAAAATTAAAGATAAAAATATTCAGAAAACAGAAATAAACCACATTTGTCCCAAATAAGATGTTATAAATCCAGATTAATTGCAAACAAGCTTTTCAATGTCCGACAACACTCCACAGTGTTCTTCACACTGGTATGATCTTACCATGCTTGGGGTGGTCATGCTGGTACATGTGTAGTTGTATTAACTGCAAATGGGTTATATGCCATCTACAAACTGAACACAAATACAATCCACAGCAAACATTTAACTGTTCAGCAGTATACATTAAATAGGCTGATCATCTGACTACCTCCAACAGGGCAAATATCTCAAGAATCTGCCTTGGTATTGCATTTGACATTAGTACAAGGCTTGCTGATGCTCAGAGTAAGAACCTCAGCTCAATGAATGCCTCAACATAAAATAACCACTTCATAAACAATATCAATGAATCATACCATTATTAGCAGCACAGGACAAAGTGTATTATACTGCTATGCAAGCAGTGCAACATTTCTGAAAATCTGCAGAAAAGCCAAAGAAATCCTTGTTCCCTTCATGTCCATAGCCTAGTTACACTTGGTACTTAAGCAAAAAATCTTTCATGTATTTGAGCATTAAGCACCCTCCTACACCTTTTTTCTTAAAATTACTGGAAAAAAAAAAAAAAAGATAACCAGAAAGAATTCTATCTTTTTATATATAGACTAGTAAGTTTCCCAGCACAGGAAGATGGAGGTTGAATGCTCTGTGATCATCGTAGAATTACTGGTGTAAAGAGATAACATTACTGACTGTCAAGCTTTTGGGTTTTGGCTGTGACGTTTCATGTCTGTGAAAAAGACAGATGGGAGAAAGCAAGCTCCCCCATGCCCACTCTACTCCCCTCCCCATCCCCCCCCAAAAAAAGAAAAAAAGTGAACTTTTTTTAAGAGCTTTCTCCTGAGGTCATGAAGTGATGTACTATTTTAAAATTTCATTCACTGAGGATTTTTGCACTCTTAATCACATAGTCATGGCTTGTAGTATATCACCTGTCTCTGATCTGCAAATCAAAGATATGAAGCCTGTTTTATACTTGCACTTATAACCTCTTGCTTTTTTGCATATTCTGACTAGATCTACTCTTTAAAAGACTCTGGATAAGTGTTTTTAAGCAGATTACCATTGTCCAAATTTTTTAGGGAACTTCAGAATCAATTTCTTAGAATGTGCAGAAACTCTCCTTTCTCTTCTTTCATCTTACCTTCTACATATACATAACTTTTTGTGTTCATCTTGGATAGTTTTGGGCCTATTAGGTTTTCCTTTGCAGAGAAGTAATAGAGTAAAATTTATCCTGTCACAGAGTAAAATTTATTTACTTCTCAACACTTTTATCTGTTGAATCTATAATAATTAATAGTGCAGTATAAAAAAATAGATCCATTTACATGCTTGAAACTAAGAGGAAAGTAAAGTTACTGTTACCCTAAATTGTGTGGTCTTTTACTCTAGGGGAGGGTGTTGTGGTGATTTTTTTTAATTTTAACATTTCTTTATCATAGATATATCAAGTAGACACAAGGACCACTGAGCTATCTTGAAAATACAGTTAAGCTTTCTGAAAAGAAAACTGCTATGTGATACACCTGGTGTATTAATTATAGACTAGCCCAATGATTGATTACACTGTGGAGTGGGAATTGCTCTCAACACTTTCCTCTTTGAGAATAAACCACAAAGTTATCATAAGAGCACCTGCATCCTCATACAGGCATACAATGATACCATCACTGGTTTTAATCTTCCTGTAATTTTGGGAACGTGCTGTATGCTCTCCAAGGTGCAAGAAGTACATGTTGTACCCATTAACCTTTCCACACAAAGAGTGTTCATTGCATGCAGCAGTCTGACAGAGGCCCAGTCAGCTACTGGATACAACCAAGCAACAAAATGCACGTGTTTTGTACAGAATATGTTATCATCTAGCAACTTGAAAGTCATCTTCCACATGGAGAGAACTTAAAGTGAACAAATTAAAGCTCATGTAGTAAATAAATCATCATGGTAATGTCTATTTGTGTTTGCTAAAGGAATGTGAGAAGCAGGGAGAGTAAAACGTGAGGATTTTAAGGGTTGTCTCAGTGACAAACTCTATGAAGTAGGTAGATAAAAAGAAAATATCTTGTAGTGGTGAATTTTTCATTAGAAGTCAATAGATTCTGTAAAGCTGTCAAATGTTAACTAACTTACCTTCTGCTCTTTGCAAAAAGGTTAATGGATACAGCACATTTGCTACTGTGACACTGAAAACAAAGCATGACAAATGGTATGCTCTTGTATTTGTTTTGCACTCTTTTTTAAATTCTTAATTATTATTTTATTTTAGGCCTGCTATACGTAGAAGTGGCTAGAGTGTGAATAGATACTAGGGCTGCTTGAAAAGCCTTACCATGAAGCCATCACAAAGGTCAAGGAGACAGATTTTCCCAAGACTAGGTGTGCGTGTAATACCGAAGGCTCTTGTCCTCTTTCAGTTCGGTCCTTCTGAACTTGTACAGATCCTGTTGTTTCTCTTCTGCCTTGTCCAATTATACTGGGGGCTTCAGGTCAGAGACTCTCCCCAATAGTTTCATGCAGCAGGTAGTAAAATGAAGTTTTGATTTTTGTTGAGGTTTGTAGGCACAACTGTAATACAAACAATAATAATATCATGAGTGTTGTGAGAAAAGCATGTATGCATGTTTAGTGTATATAATTTTGATGTTGACAGGAAAAAGAAAATTAAAGACTTCAGCAGACATTCTTTTCCTTAATTATGTCAATTCCATTCAGTGTGTTAATCCTTTATCTGAAGTCAGGCTCAAATTTTGCTACCACACATTATGGAACCTTTTTCTGAACTCCTAAGATAGTATGCAATACAATCTTGGTCAGAAAAGAGTAGGACTTTTAACATACGGCTGCCAAATCTGTTTTTTCTACACTCTATCACTGCTATATATTTCTCCATGAATGTCACTGGACCTAGGACTTCTAAGTGAATAAATTTAAGGACTGGATATTATCTGGCATTTTTATGAGATGCATGATCTCATTTAAGAATAGGACGAATTGTTCCTACAACACATACCCAATGTGAAAGCAATGAGATTGCAATCAGACAAAGAAAAAAGTCCAAAGTGTCCAAGGAAACTGGACCAGCTAATGAGACTACTAGAAAGCTTCATAAAATTTTGTGAAAAATCACTGAAGATTGGTAGGTGGGGTCACTTGGGCATTTCTCCCTTGCCTAAATCCATGAAGAAGTACTATTAATTACAGAATTTCTCTTTCATCTGTTGCCTATTTGGGGAGTTATACACTCCGGTCAGATTGAAATATTTGGAGGTTTTTTAGGAATAGTTTGAGATAAAATTAATGACCTGTGACTTTCAGGAAATAAGACTAAATGATCTTTTTTGTCCTGAAAATAGTAAGGCTAATTGTCTTTTGCATCTTTTAAGCCTATGATTTAGGATGTAAGAAAAATCTCAAGTCAGACTCTTAATTCAAAAACAGAGAAATTGACACAGAAAAGTGAGGCTCAACCATGCAAAATCTGCTTTGGGTTGGATTTTTTTCCCCCTTTTCAAAGTACAAGAACCTTAATCAGGCACTAGGTGGCTGTTTGCATAAACCTTAGAAATCTTTACAATCAGGTTTGATTTAAAAAGATAAATCCTTGAGGCTATGCAAACTTCAAAAATATCTTACAGATAGTATCTAATGATACAATGTTCCATTAATTTAGTTGCAAGTATACATAACAGTTTTTAATAAAAACCAAGTGGGTTTAAAAATTGTGGAAAATTGAGATGGGAACCTGAATGTCATTAAATACTTTTAAGTGCTGTAAGGAATCTGAGTTTACTAAGCCATTAACAATTTTGGTTTCTGTGGGGAACAAAAGGACATTTTATATGTTCAACTAGTGAAATATACTGTAAAGTTTAAAGAAAAACAATACCAAAAGAAACTCAATGCTTTCAAGAGTTAAAATGCAGCTTTGAATCCACCTGTATATGGAGAAGATTTTAAAAAGCTTTGGCAATGCAATTGTATGTAGGAATTTCTTATTTTCTTAATTCAAGAAATAGGATTTTCTGAGACTCTGTTATTATGCTCAGTCCATTCTCTGAAGAATCCACTGATTATAGGTAGAAATAATCAAACAAAACAACCTGAGAATATTGGAGAAATTAAATAGGATCATATACTTTCAGTGGAATTTTCTAGCAGTCTTCTCCTAGGATGAAAATTGAGAGAAGATTCCTATGCTGGGCAGAAATAAAGCTGAGGGTGGAAGTCCAAGAACTAGGAAGGCAGAAAAATTGTGATGGAAAGCTTTAAAGTACTACACTGCTTGGCCATCCCTAGCAAAAACATTATTGAATTACTACTACAGAAAGGACCATTGTAATAGGTTTATGCAACACTAGCATAGGAATTATTTTCCAGAGAATCTCTAAAGTCTACCAATTCCAGACTGCTATTTCACATTGAGGAAATGAACTGCAACAAACAACTTTCAACAAGCATGCATGTGACAGCATGGAGCCCATACCACCAAGGGACAAATGTGATAGTATTTTTTTTTTTTCACTAAGATGAGAGAAATGGAGAACCCAAGCAACTGCCATAAAAGGTACATGCAAAATAGAGGTTGTAGATACTTATTTGATTGTTCATCTTTACCCAGCAGCTTTAGACACACTTAAACAGTGTTTTTCACTTGCTAAATGTAGCCTGTACATGCATTTCAGATCCCTTGGTATCCATTTTAAACAATAATGTTCATTTATAATGTGAAAGTCAGAAATTCCTCTACAGTGTACTTATGCATCCTGGGATAAGAAATAAAGAGCATTGTAGCTTTTAGAGCTAAGATAATGTCCATTTTCTCCTACTCTCCAAATTAAATAGGTTCCTATAGACATCTATTGTTCAAACATTGTAAGATTCACTCATATTGAAACTTCTTTGGCATTTCTGTGACTCCTCTCCCAGGCAACTATAAGTAAAACAAGAGGGCACAATCTTAAGCTCTGCTGGGGGAGGTTTAGGTTGGATATTAGGAAGAAATTCTTTACAGAGAGGGTAATCAGGCATTGGAATGGGCTACCCAGGGAAGTGGTGGATTCTCCATCCCTGGAGGTTTTTAAGATGAGACTGGATGTGGCACTTAGTGCCATGGTCTGGTTACCACGGCGGTAGCGGATCCAGGGTTGGACTTGATGATCTCAGAAGTCTTTCCAACCCAGCTGATTCTATGAGTCTATGATTCTATGATTCTTCCTTCTTGGTTCAACCTTCTTCCTTCCAAGTGTGTTTTCCTTGTGTCTCGCCACTGCAGCTCTGCTTTCTGAGAAATGCAGTTAGATTTTCCTCTCTTTGCCCCCTACACCCTTCCCACCTTAACCTGGCCACTCTGACAATTACCCAATCTATATGGTTGACATCTAATAATCTTCTAAGACTTCAATACAAACTGTAGCAAATAGTCTTTTTGAGTATCTGTACTCCAGGACTTTTTGTGTCTGCAGTGAGACTAAAAACAATAGTAAGTTGTTTTCTTCTTACATGATATAGTTTTTGTGCATTAGGTGCTTGCAAGTTCTTGAACAATTCTCATTAAAGGCCAGCAAATAAAAGATCAGTGGAAAGAAGTTTTGCAGAAACAGGCATTATTCCAGAAACTAGTTTGAGGCTTAGAGATATAGAGATAACATATAAAAGCTGTGACCTTCATTCTTCATCTCCTTACAATTCGATATTTATTCCTTCAATTAAAGCCTTCTGGCTAAAAAAGCTAGCAATATCAACAACAAAAAGAAAACTGGAAGAGGTGTTTTTTTTTTTAGACAACCCGTAGAACAGGTCTCAGAGTTAAATTTAGGATAACAGATTTTTTTCTTCAAAAGTAAAATTTGTTTTGTTTGATTTACCCTCAAAAGCTTTCAGCATGTACCAGCTCATGAAACCAGTTCATTAAACAGTTAAAAGCATATTAGAAAACAGTGTGACCTAAAGAATAGGAACACAAAGAGATATAACTTACAACTATTGTCCATACCTGTCTGTAGCTTGCTTCTGTCCTGTGCCTTCTAACAGACATCAAATACAGTTTCAGAAACGAATAGTCAAGTGCTTCAAATGAAGTAAATGTTACAGAAGGAGTAAGACAAGAACAAAGAGAAAACATGGGAATCCACACAGAAAAAAAAGATAGGAATGTGCCTTCATTTCAAATCAAGGTTTCCTTGTGTCTAATTTCCCTCAGTAACATTCTGTAGTTGGGGTATTTTATTATCATCATTATAATTATTACTATTGTTTCTCCTTCTAAACTGAGATTCAATCTGAAAATAGCACAAGAGAGACTTCATGTACACAGCCAAGAGAAACTGAAGGCTTGCCTCACACTAGAATATAAATCAGCATGATAAGAACTTTTTCTTTTTTATTATTTTACCTTAAGACCTTAAAACTATACATCATTTGGATAAATCAAGTAAGGCTATTATGACATTTGAGCATCATTCAAATGTATATCATTGTTCTACATCTCTACCCACTGAGTTTTTCACTTGTGCAACTTTCGGACTTATTTATAAAAGTAGTATTGACTTGAAATTGGATAATAGCTTTTTACTGCTTTTATTGAGTTGGGGAGGTTTTGTTGTTTGCTTGTTTGTTGTTTGGTTTTGCTTTTGGTTTGGTTTTTTGCTTAAGTCAGGAACAAAATCTTTTCTTTTTTTGTGTAAATGGTGAGTATAATTATCTTATGACACCAACTCCCTTTGATGAACCCTGTCCTTGATGTTATGGTAGCATGGCCTTTCTCATCTGAACAAGTAGATGAGGAAATACAGATTATGGAAGAGACTTTGTCTCAATTATGAATCAATAGTGTAGTAGATTATCTCAAGTAAATATTTCCTTTATTTTTGTACATCTCTTCTCTCTTTTTAATTTGATACCTTTGTTTCTCACTATTGCCTGTAAACTTTGCTATCAGTATGAGTAATTTCATATAAGCCCTTTTTTGATAACTGGTTAACATATTAATTTCTATCATGACTGTAGATCTAGCAACAGCAGTAATTCCTTAAAGAAAAAAAAAAAGAAAAAATAAAAAAAAAAAACTTTTTTTTGCCTAATCCAACATACTGAGTGGAAAAAATTGATTCAGTTAATATAATTGATCTATTAAACAACAAATGTACACGAATAAAACATATCCATTTTCCTGCTTGTAGACACTGATGTTTCATTGACACGGAAACTGTTGTTTTCAACAGTCTCATGACATTGTTTACAGGTGTTGCATAATGTTATTAACAAGAACAGTGTTGTTTATATATGCAGAATCACTGTGTGTAAAATAGTCACATATCTATGTGTGCTTGCTCATGCAGTATGAGCCTACTTACTGCAGGCTACAGTATTTGATCAATAGCTATCAACATTCAGCTGGCAATTTGATTTAGAAAATATAGCCTGAAAATAGCTCCATTTCACATATATTACTTTTGTGACTGCTGCTGTGATTGCTCAGCCAGAGTCCAGCTGCGGAAATGTTAAAACTATTCATCAGACATGAATATTCATCAGAGTGGTATTCTTATTTTCCTACACATCACTGG